AAAAATTATTCAATATTCAATTTCATTACTAGTGTTTATTTTGACTTTTTTTTAAAACAAGAGACACGAAAAAAAAAAAAGAGAGACACATTTACTCCATATACGTTAATTAGTTCTCGTAAGATCTACAAAGTTAGTCGTAAATAACCATTGAATACAATAACATGTAAAACCAATGGGTCTCTTATATAACCAGAATTTAAAAATTTGTTTTATAATGAACATACTTTAGTAAATGGTCTGAAGTAGTCTTATATCCTGACGTTTCTTGCAGCAGGTATAATTTCGTTACAAAACAAGTTTTATAAAGCAAAATTTGTATAATTAAGCTCAAAAGCAGACATCAAGTAACGGACATACCCAAGAGATGGGCAGGAATTGTCCCATCTTTTGGCATTTTGTCTCCATATGTGTCACGTAATTTCATTCTGACATAAGCATGGATTTTCTGATACAGAGGGCGAAGCTGGTTCCACAGACTCTCGACGTCATCTCGAAACGTCTCGGACTCGTAGGGTGCCAACCACATTTCACTTAAATCTGAGAAACCTGAAAGAAAATAGATGTACCTGTGTTACATTGCATGGATAACAGCCAGAAGCGCAATAAAATGTAAACAATAACACTCCAGAAGACCTTTAATCATTATCATGTAAATTCAGACGACGATCGCTATGATGTTAGAAAATCAGTCATATATTAGAAATCAAACTTTATTTCTTATCAAGTTTTCACCATAATGCAACATAAACTTTAATTGTTACTATATTACAGATTCTGTAGCGTAATATAACATGGGCCTTAATCGTAACCACATCATCAAGTCGGCATAATAGTACAAAATAGGTCGTTAGTCGTAACCACATCATCAAGTCGGCATAATAGTACAAAATAGGTCGTTAGTCGTAACCACATCATCAAGTAGGCATAATAATACAACATGGACTTCACTCGTAACCACATCATCAAGTCGGCATAATAATACAAAATGGGTCGTTAGTCGTAACCACATCAACAAGTAGGCATCATAATACAACAT